AAATTTGTTAGTCTCTAAGGTGCCACAAGTCCTCCTGTTCTTCTTTTTGCGGATACAGACTAACACGGCTGCTACTCTGATACTGAGTACATGCCACCATAAATCAGCACCTTGTTTTCTTTTGCAAATGCTTACAGAATACACATCTTGGATTGGAGGGAAGAAGAAAGAGAACCCCTCACAGTTTAAATATGTTTTGTTTCCACACCATGAACGGGATTGTTATAGCCAGTTGGGCAACAAGAAGTCCTGCAGGTTTACTTACCCAATCCCGCAAATGGAATTTGTTCTGCGGAAAAAGATATGGAGAGGGGGAGTTCTATGTAATGAAGGGAGGAAGCTATCTTCAGTATTCTTCCCTACATTACATACTCTTTGGACTAAGAACCAGGTCATCCACCTTCCTGTGCTGTTGACTTGTATAAGGAAAATGTCCATCCTGCAGCAGATAGATTTGTCTCTTTACTCCCCTGTCCTAACATGACATTTGTAGCTGTTATTATTCCTATCTTAACTCACGTTTTAGGCCTGATTCTGCAATGCTGACTCACATATCATTGCTTTATATTCTGTGGAACTTCTTATATGAGTAAGGGTAGTAGGGTCAGGCCCTTACATTGCAGAAAGACTGAGATAGCCCATCCAATCACACATTATTAGTATTGACATTTATTACGAACAATAATTTTTTGCCAAGGTGTTTCTCATTTAAAACATCCTTTCCCCCGTCACTATTATTTGAAATAAAACTCTTTAGAATCATACCACTGAAATCTATTTCCTTACCAAGATAACAACTGCTCCCTCCTGCAGGAAAAAAAACAACAACATGGCACAGGGCTAAAGGGATGAAAATCTCCATAAGGTTCTCCTGACTCAGACTGGTACTGATTTCGCCACTGAGAGAGGGGCAGGAATAGCACTCCCCACAATAAATCACATGTCCTACCTTCAAAATCTTGGGGGAACATTGGGAAGCAAGGACCATCCCAATGAAGAACCCATGTCTGGCTGCCTCTTGCCACCAGCCCCCGCACCCCTCATCTGCCAGCACAGATCCAACAGAATTACCCCATCTGAGCTTCATCAGCTGGCACTTGCCCTGGGGACACCCATAAAGGCAGATCTCCCTCAGAATGAGGGACTGCAGGATGCTGGGCTGTATTACCTTTCTAAAGGAATATTTGCAGCATTAGTGCTGGGATGACATGCACTCTGTCCTAGCTGAGTCCCTGTCCTCCCCCCTCCTCTCACAGAGCCACCAATCCCTTGGTGCAGCTTGGAGGAAGGGGGAAGACAGTGAGCCTACCTTCTGTGTTGAAGGGATATGGTCCATGAGTGAAGGGACCCCCTCCACCATCAGATCATTAGGGCATGATCTGCTCCCAAATTATTTGTGTCTTTCTTGAGCATACTCCCTGGTTTGTTGGGATGCTCTGGGCGCAGAGGAGCTAGCACG